GGGGGCTCAATCAATTAATGTCCTCTAACGTGAGAACTCACCTATCCTTGAGCTCCAGCATGCGGGTGTATCTCTTCCGGTGTTTGCTCAGGTACAGAAGATATCTCGCCAAGTCTTGAGCACTCTGGAATATACCAAACTTGAATTCTTTGATCGATTTAGAATAAGACAAAGTAGTGTTAACAGTTGCAAATATTTTTTTAAGATAAAAAGGAAGCGGGCTGCCCTGGTCTTGTTTATTAGGGTCAATCCAGGCTGTGAGAGCTACTACACATCAATTTTATAGACAGATGTGCACATTTAGTAACACATTATCCCCCTTCCCCATCTCTCTCTCTCTCTCTCTTTCTCTCTGCCCCCCCCCCCCGAAATTGGGATTCGAACCCTCGCCTTTTACCTGTATCATCATCCAGTGCCAGATCTTCGACAGACATCGGCGAACATGGTTTTCCATTCATTCCTTTGCTCAGATGCTCTAAAAAAAAGCTACGTTTCCCTGATCTTTCCCTGTTACCCTGTATAAAATTAAAATCTCACAAACCTGAAAGTCCGAGGCATCAATGAAGGAGCCCCTGGCCAGGTATCGCTTATAGTCCAGCCCTCCTCGCACTACAGGGATGACATCCACGTTTTCAAACAGCTTGAAATACTTCTCAGACACATAGCTCTGGCAGAAAGAGTTCTCGAAGGACAGGTAAAACCTGGACATTAAAAAAAAATCACTGTGTTTTTCAAATGCATCATTTATCAAGACATCTGACTCAACTTTTAGAGAAAATCGTCGGTGTCTCAAGCAATCACTTAAGTCCCATTGGGTACTTTTTACACCAGAGAAAAACAAAACAAAACAAAAAAACAACAAAAAACAAACAAACATAAAAAACCCCAAACAAACCAAATAAAAACAAACAAACAAACAAAAAGCCCCCCCCCCCACTCACGCCCCCCCCCCTCAACAAACTCCTCCCCAAAAAACCCACCAAAACTAAAGCCCACTAGTTTCTGTTGCGTTGTTCCTATCAGGAATCATGAAAAGCAAGCCACAGCATTAAACCGCATTTTGGTGAAGTTGAAAGGCACATCTTTGGTACAGCTTTGGGAAGGGGTAAAAATCGAAAACTTTCAAAATTTGGACAAGCGGATTGCTTGCAACACCGACGAATTAATTATCCAGCTACTTATTGTTTATGAGGTATTGGTCAACAACAGTTACGATACTCGAATCATTTTAAATGTGCAAGGCGTTGAGCATTACTACGAAACGACAGAAGACATTTTGCTGATAGGCAGGTTTTTTGTGCGTGGGTACAGGACTGTCCCTCACGTCTGAGGCCTGGAATGCGTGCAGTGATTTAAGTTGTGTTGATGGAGGCGTAAAAACACATACATCAAATTTTAAAAAAAGAAAAAGAAAAAGAATACATGCACGACAAAGAGCATAATGCTCAGTGCACACTGCTAATAGGATTCGATCTAACTGAATGAAGATCATCCAGATTTTTTCTTCATGGAAGAGCAAAAGTTGCCATTTTGGCACAATGCCTCCGATTTGACTCGAGACCTCGAAAATTAAGTGCGTTTGATTTGAAGATCGCAGTCGAATCTAGTCGAATTCGGTGGAATTGTGTCAAAATGGTTTCTTTAGCCCCTTCCAGGAAGATAAATCTGGCCAGCCCTAACTCAATCAAATAAAATAATGACTTCGATTGGCAGTGTGCACTCGGTAAAACCATCACAGCACAGACGTGGCCAATCGTATGTCTGTGGCCGTTAAAAAGGGATGCTCATCCTATTTTGCTACGTTACTTTACCAAAGATTTCTCATCTCAGAAAACGAATGAGATGTTACGGTAAAAAGAGACAGCTTCTCAGGGTGGTATACAATCAAACAAAACAAGTTCAAAATTAAACAAATCGAATTAAAAATACCATTAGAACATAAAAAATCGGTTAAAAACAATTACACAAAATAATTTTAGAAAATCATTTTGACAAAAATAATTTTACTAAACAATCAAACAAAGTTATTTCTAGATAAAAACAATCAAACAAAATCATTTTGATGGAAACAATTAAGCAAAACAATTAATCAAAATTTGTTTGAAAAGAAAACCACAAACAAACTGACCAATAAAAAAATAAATAGCATTACAATAGAACAGAACAATCAAACAAAGACAAAACGGTGGAATAAAGCAATGTAGCAATACGATCAAACAAATCACTGTAGCTATACGATGAAACAGAATAACAAAAACCACCCCCAGCCCCCCCCCCAACAACAACCAAAAACAAACAACAACCCCAGAACAAAAGGTAAAGGGACGGAATAAAGGAATGTAGCAATACGATGGAACAGAACAACCAAAACAAATATGATAGACGGAAAGCAATGTCCCAATACGATTAAACACGAGATGTAACAAAACAACCAAACAAAGCAATGTAGCAATAGTACGATCAATCAAAACAATATAGTAACAATAAGGTCAAACAAAATAATGTTACACTCATGCAAACAAACAAAACATAGTTCAATAATACGATCAAACAAAACTATCTAACAAAACGATACCCCCCCCCACCCCCCACCCAAAGCAACAATAATACGATCAAACAAATCAATCTAGCAATGATACGACCAAACAAAACAATGCAGGAATAATACGACCAAACAAAACAATGTAGCAATACGATAAAACAAAACAATGTAGCAATAATACGATCAAGCAAAATAATGTAGCAATACGATCAAACAAAATCAACCAAACAAAACGATCAAACAAAACAATCAAACAACATAATGTAGCAATACGATCAAACAAACCGATCAAACAAAATCAACCAAACAAAACGATCAAACAAAACGATCCGCAAATAGCAAAATGTTGCAATACGAACAAACAAACCGATCAAACAAAACGTACATATAATCGTTTGTGAGCATGTTGTTACATTCTTCTCTGCCATGTTTGTGCACCTCCCCACATCGGAGCGGTCCACACAGTCCAAAAACATCAATGGGCGCTACCTCTGACATTTGTTTCACGTAGTCTTCTCGTCGGCCGAACGTTTCACAGTGGCTCACAAACCAGGCCGCCAGTTTCCTCTTCTTGTTGTACACAGCGTCTGGCAGTATTGTTGTTTTTGTTAAATGGTGGAAAAAATATACACCTACGTTGTTGACATAACAAGAGATTCACGTATTATATTACGTTATACAAATAATATAATAGATTTATAATTCAATGATTATCTTTCAAGGAAGACCAAAGATGACGTGGAGGCAAGCGGTACAAGCGGAAATGGAAAAGGCGGGAACATCATGGAAACAGCTAGAAAAGGATGCACTGGACAGGGTATTTATCTTTGTCGAGATAACAACAAATCACAACTGATAACAACTGAGAACAATTGATAACTACTGATAACAACAGGTAACAACAGATGACAACTGATAACAAAAAATAGCAACAGAAAACAACTGATAACAACTGATAACAACAGACAACAACAAAATAACAACAAATATCAACACAAACTCTTAATTTAGCTTTTTTCGATAAATTGTTACTTTCGGTTTTACTTTCGATTTTAATGTAAACCAATAAAGGGACGCAACTCCGGTCATCGCTAAAGAATATTCTACTTCTGGTAGTTGCTCGGAGGTGTGCATGTAAAGTAGGGGCCTAGTTGACTTCATGAATATTGATTTCTGAGGCTGGAATCAAAGCATTTTAGTGTTATCAGTTGTTATTTGCTGTTATCAGTTGTTATTTGTTGCTATCAGTTGTTATTAGTTGTTATTTGTTGTTATCCCGATAAAGATAAATACGTACCAGCCTGTATTCATTTGTCGAGATAACAACAAATATCAACTGATAGCAATAAAATAACGACACAAATATCAACACAAACGTCCTAATTTAGTTACTTTTACTTGGTTGTTAAGGTAGTCAGTTGTTATTTGTTGTTATCTCGACAAAGATAAATGCCGATGTAGGCTTCCTTAAAAAACAAGCCAAAGCAACTAAATTAGGACGCTTGTGTTGATATTTGTCGTTATTTAGTCAACTGATAACAACAAATAACAATTGTTATCAGTTGATAACAACTGATAACAGCAAATAACAACTAATAACACCAAAATACTTTGATTCCAGCCTCAGAAATCAATATTTATATAGTCAACCAGGCCCCTAACTCCGAGCAACTACCAAAAGTAGAATATTCTTTAGCAATGACCGGAGTTGCGTCCTTTTTTAGTTTACATTTAAATCGAACGAAAAATCGAAAGTAACAACTGATCCAAAAAAACTAACCCAACTAAATTAGGACGTTTGTGTTGATATTTGTCGTTATTTTGTTGTTATAAGTTGGTATCAATTGTAATTTGTTGTTATCAGTTGTTATTTGTTGTTATATCGACAAAGATAAATACGCGGGCTCTCGTGGCCTAGAGGTTAAGGTGTTGGCCTCTCACTCAAAAGATCCCGGGTTCGAATCTGGGTAGCGACAGAAAAATTTTCTTCTCTAAATTTGTCTCCTTTCACCGCCTTTCCTGCTCTCTAGCAATGTTCTGTCGTCTGCTTTCGTCTCCACTTTCTGCCCTCACCCCGTCACCTCCTTGCCCCTTCCTCTGGGCTCCTGATTCTGTCTGCAGCCTTTCTACTGCTACTCCTTCGCTTCTTCTTACTGCAGTCTTTCAGCCACACCCCTGATCTTCTGGTAGGAAAGATCTACACCTAGCCTTCTCGGACAAGGTCGAAAAATCTCGGAGGGCCCGTGTGCAAGTTGCGCACGTTAAAGATCCCTTGGTGGTCTAAAATCGATAAGAGTAGGCTTCGGTCGCCACCCGGGCAAAATTCAAAAATTTCCTACCAACTGAAAATATTAGGTGTGTCCCGCGCGCTCATATGACCTATGCAGTTGCGAGCGCCGTAAAACACTCTACTATAAAAGAAAAAGAAAAAAAAAAAGGATAAACACCGTCAGGACAGGCTTCGCTGGAAAAATGTTGAATTGATGGCCTATACTCCACTTCGAGTTAAAAAGGCCAAGGCCAAGGTCGAGAGAGAGAGAGAGAGAGAGAGAGAGAGAGAGAGAGAGAGAGAGAGAGAGATTATCTTTCAAGATCCAGTAGGTTTACCAAGGTATGGGCGAAAACATAGAGAACGCCCATTTCGGAGACTGACCCAGTAAACGCCGATTGGTATGAAAATTCCCTTATGATTTCCAACTAGCACCACATAGATCTAGAGCTGGCCGATTGCAGGCGGCTGCTAGGATCGACGTTGTCGGCTTTATCGGAATCATACTTATTACGACGAAAAGCTGGGAAGGCTGTCTCGCTGTCAACTCGCAACCTTTCTTGCTTTCTTGTCTTATCTCCATTTTTTAACAGTGAAAAAGTGACTTCTTCTTAAGCTCACTCTTTGATGTGAACTGCTTTCACTGTTATTAAAAATGGAGATGCGACAAGAAAGCACTGAGGTCGCCAACTCTCAATGCCGTCTCGCCGTCGCTAACTCGGGTTCAGTACTACTAGTAGTAGTAGTCTTACTAGTAGTAGTAGTAGTAGTAGTAGTAGTAGTAGTAGTAGTAGTAGTAGTAGTAGTAGTAGTAGTAGTAGTAGATCTAGTGGAAGTAGCAGTATAACACTCTCTATTTGGAGTCGTTATCAAGCTATTTCAAAAATTGT